CCCCGTCTCCTCGGAAATATTCCTATTTGCTTGACCCTGTTTGAGGGGTGCGGGGAGCAGGGGAGGTATTTGAGGCTGGGGGTGTGCATGGAATTCAAGCTGCCTCCAGGGAGGGAATGCCCGGGAGTGGGGTCCCCTCTCCGGGTCCCGCCGGCATCCCCGAAGCCCTCTCGGCAGCCAGAGGACAGTAGAGAAGAGACTCTTTTCTCTCAGCACTATTTTTACTTCCCGCTCATGTTTCCCCCTTGCTCCTGCGAGGCGAGGGGGCGGTGCGAGGCTGGCGCCTGCCTGGGAATCGCCCGGGAGTCAAAAAATCCCCGCGTAACTCCCCCAAACTTCGCTGGCTCCAATCTGTGCTGGAAATGCACTTGCCTCGGGAAGGGCTATTCGGGATGAGGATAATGAAAGGGAAAAAGACAACTCCCTTCCCCCCGAAACCGACAGCCCCTTTCCCGCTTCACGATCCACAGGGCTGTGCGGTCCTTCCACGGCGCTGCTCCCCCCGCCGCCACCAGGTCAGGGGATTACTGCAGTCTACGTAACTCCAAATAACCCCCTTTTCAAAAGTTTATCCTTCTCAAGAGCTTAGAGAAACCTAAGCGGAAGGCTGCAAACCGTGGGGGCTTCCCCCAGTAAGGTCACGGCTTGGAGACCGGAGAATTTCTGGTGCTTTTTTTTTTACTCGTCGAAATTAAACTTATCCCCAGCGGATTTGCAGGTCATCTACGCGTCCGAGAGGTCCTCCCGCAGTCTGCGTCAATACTTTTATTATTTTATTTCACTTTTAAATGGGCTCCAAGCAAAAGCTAAGCATTTCCAGCAGCACGGCTGCAGATGGAGGAGGAGGGGGATCTTCACCGGAGGCCAGTTCCCACCACCAGGTCCCTTCCTCCTCATAACAAGGCATTTTGACAGAGAGGGAAACTTGGGGTGTGTGTGTCATAACTGGAGCGTGCGGTTATTGTGCAGCTGATGGATTAGAACAAATTCTGCAGCTCGGGAATTGGTTTTGTTCGTATTTAAGCCCAATATCGATATAAGGGGGGCGGGAAGGGGGGGCAGCGCCTAACTGAAAGAATACAACTGCTAAGAGTGAAATTAAACCCAGTGGTCACCGCGGGCTTGAAGACAGGGGGTTCCTCTGCATTTCTCACATTTGGCTACATTTTTTTTTTTTTTCCATCATTTAAATGACAGCACTCGGGACGGCGAAATTTAGAGATGCAGTAAAGCTGCTTGTCTGAATCCACTTTGAAGTAAGAATGCTAGTGGGTCTGAAATCCAGATCTACCAGCTAATCTCCAGTTTTGCCTTCAAACGGAATTCAGCTACAAAGAGCTTGGAAAGATTTTGCATCTATTCAAGAGGCACAACATCTTTAATTTTCTGAGGAGCAAAAACTCCCCAAGAAGCTTCATATAGCTCCTTAGGTTTTGCTTAGCATATGTGATAAAACATTGATTGTCGCAGTTTGGTGACCCATGAAATTTGGGGGTTAGTTTTCTCTTCAGACCAGAGCATATAATTATGCAAATAAAGAGCTGTCACTGATCTAGTGAAATACTCACAAACGCATGCAATCCGAAATGGAACAGAAAAGTGAATATTTGTGGCATTGTGACTATACAATGATAAATGACATCTCCTTCCAAGTTTCTCGAGAAGTACATTTTTCACACTTTGTCTAGTGCGTCAACATAACGTGGGCACACACACTCACACACATGCTACACGTTCATCAGAGGTACAGATATCCACACACATGCATCCCTCAGCTCTGTATGATGCAGCTCTACCCGGGTGCACGGTGGATGTACACATTCTTGGCAGGTTTTTTGGGTATGGCTGACTCCAAAACGGTTCAATATCCAGCTCCATGCGGCACTTTGTATTCTGGATGAAATTCCTTGAGGGAGAGAAACAACCAACAGCAAACCAACCCAAACCCAAACAAATCAAACCCAAACAACCCAGCCCAAAAGCCTCCAAACAATTAGCGGTGTGTCTCCGGGACAGAGAAATATGCTCATTCCCAGCAAAAGCAGCATCATCTTTTGACCTGTGCAAAGCAGAATTAGGACCACCAGTACTGTACCAGCGTATGACCATGTGTGCACAATGCAGATGAGGGACTTTTTTGCCTTTTTCTTTCCTATTAGAATTCGCATGTCGTGTCTGTCCGTCCCCCCTCACCCTCCATGTGTTTGGGGATCCTCTGATGGCTCCAACCGTGGCATTTCGGCTGGTACAACCATATGCAAAACTTTTGGGCAGGCGGACCATAAGTCTTTGGGGCATGAGGAACTGGGGGCTTCTCCTGAAGAGTCTATTGTCAGTTTTGCTAGGTTTTGGTGCCTTTTTTTTCCTTTGTGTGTGCGAGTGTGTCACTTTTAGAGTGCCCAGCTCCAAAGTTACCCAGGGCACAGGCTGTTGCATGATGATACCAAGGAGTTTCCGCGTGATGAAATCGGGAGAAGGCTGATGTCAGACCTGTCTCTGCTGAAGACGTCACGGACTGAGGGACCAGCGGAGCGCAACTTTGAGAAAGGCCTACCCCAAGGGATCGCTTGAATCCAGATTCATCCCTCGTAAGCGCGGTTTAGGGCTGCCGTCATCCACTTTCCGCGGCAGGCACTGGGATGCTCTCACACCTTCCTCTCTTCCAGCTTCCAGGGGCGACACTTACTGCTGTCCCCCCTTTCCGCAGCCCGCGAACCCTCCGGGGAGGGGCACGGAGATGCCATCTCCCCAGTGTCGTGTCCTGTCCTCCCCCCTCAAAAAAACCGTCCTTCTCCACGACGAACCGCTCAAACCTGTGTCCCAGGGTCTTATTTTTAAGTTGTTTAGGATTAGCTAAAGGGAAGAAAGTCGTCGGGGCGTGCTGGCAGGAGCACCTTCCCGTGGAAAGGAGAGGCTGGGAAGCTTACGGTTGCTTAGGAAGACGGAGTGGGGGGGGGGGGGCTGGACACACATCCCTCGCCCCATCCACCCTCCCCGACAACTGGCTGTGTTTGGCGAGGCAGGGTCCCCATTTGCAAACAGTCCCCGACTCCCACCCCTTGCGTGCTCTCCTTGGAGAGGGTGGGGGGTGGGGGGTTGGGGGAGGCCTGCGCAGCCCTACGGAGGTCGCAAAGGACACAAGGAGGAGAGAAAAGCACATATTTTTTCCATTCAGTGAAAGCGCACCAATACCAGCGGTGAAGATAGCTCTACCCACTCCTCCGTCTCGCTTTACCGCCCGACAGAAGCGGTAACGCCGGGTGGGCCAGGGGCACGGCACAGAAAAAGGCGCAAGAAACGGCAGGTCGTTAACAGTACAAATGTTCGTTGTTTTTTTTTTTTTTCTTTTTTTTGTACATTTCGTTTCTCATCTGCACTTGAAAAAATAAATCCTTTCCCGCGACATTTGGAGACCCCCCTCTCTCCTCCTTGTTGCAGGATCCCCCCCCCCAGCAACAGGTTCCCCTCCGGGAGCAAACACTCCTGGGCGTGGAATTTGCACCGACCCCCTTTCCCCGTAGGCAGAGCCTGAGCGCCTCGCGGGGGGTCACTTGGAAGGGGAGAGGTTAAATGGTGCCGGAGGGGGGAACCCTGCTATGAGCAGACAAGGGTGCAGAAAGGCCCCTCAGCAGGAAGATTTAATCCCAAATTCGTCCAGGTTTCAATTTGCATCCCCGACATTGACACCACTGACTTTGCCCTGTGACAGAGGCATCACCCCCACTTTGGCATCACCCCGTTTCAACACTTCCCCACTCCCCTGCCGTATCCCAGCTGTAGGATAGGAATCATTCCATGAGAGGGATGGGATGCTGTGGCATGGGGGTCCCAAAGTCACTTGTTCAAGTGTTGCCTCCTTGACACTAAAAGCGTCAGAGGCGAGATGGGCACGGCCATTGGGGAAAAGATCACTTTAATTTAGCATCATCAACACTCAAGGACCTTAATTAGCGTGCTCGCTTGCTGGGCACGCTATCAGGCACTTATTATTGCTTAGTTTCTGAGAAGAAAAGCTGCCGACAATGATGGTGGTGGCTTCAGCTGCACTTCCCCCATGCCCCACACTTGGCGTGGAGTCCCCACGCAGAGCAGTGTCCCTCCTCCGGCGCCTGGGAAAGTGGGAGAGAACCCTTGTGCTTAGGGAAAAGAGGCACCTTGCCATCTCGTGTGGCAAGTCACTACCAGCCCTGCATGTGGAAATGGACGCATCTTTGCATTTAAATTGAAACAGTAAGATGTGCAATATGAGTCTTTTTTTTATTTTTCTGTAATCTGTGAATACACAGATTCACAGTGTAATCTAGCCAGTTAATGAACAGAGATTTATTTATTTATTTATTTATTTATTTATTTATTTATTTATTTATTTTTTATAAGTAGAGCTTTCAGAAGGAAGGGATGATCTACAGATACTGTCACTGATCTGGCAGGAAGAGAAAATCTCTACAACAAAGGGGCTTTCTTATAAATCTCGACCAAACCTCTTGGACCCTCCTCCCAGAAGAAAATAAAAGAGTCAAGAGTTGATCCCACTTGGTCCCAGAGAAAGACAAGGCTACTGGGTGTAAAATCACAGGCTGGTTAGCACTTCTGAGCTAGCGTTATCTTAATTCTTATTTAGTTCTGTCCTGAAATTGAAGGAAGCAGCAAAAAAATCCTGTAAGCGACAGGACCGCAACAAAGCTGTTAAATTCTGGCATCAGCTTGGTGCAAGGCTATGTCAGGGCAATTAGAGCTGCATCATGCTGCACTGTGCAGTACCTCTGTCAGACTTAATCTGCACGCTGATGGGCAGCACAAAATCCAAGTTACAGCCCACAGGAAGCACAACCAGTGAACCCATATTGCTTTGACAGCTGCACTCATCTAGAAATAATGCAAAACGCTATTTAGATGTACACATCACAACCCTGTGCTCTAGGAAGAAAACAATCTAATGAAGGGCTGAGAGGCTCCTTGCAGAGAAGAAGCATTGAAGAGGTTGTTGTTGGTGGTGTTTGTTTCTTTTTTTACTCCCCTCCTTTTACAATTCTTCGTATTTTATCCTGTTGGAGCGCCGCGTTGGGGCTGGTTTCACTGAGCTGTTCTTTGCATCCATTGCCTTGCTGAAGAACTTGAAAATAGATGGAAAACTCTTCCAGGAAGTTAGTTCATGGCGCTCTGTACCTGCAAAATACAAAGGTGTCAGTTTGACTGGGGGTGGGGGTGTCGTTGTGCTGCTGCCTGGGAACAGGAATGACCATGTACATACAGACAAACAGGGACGTGTAGCCACTGAGGCTGCAGATCTGAGACACTGAACATGTCTTGGGCCCAGGCAAGTGAGACTCCAAAGCACCCTGCTAAGCAAAACTTTGTTGAAACACCTCATTTGAGTGGTGCAGCTTAGGAAAAAAGTGTCTACTTCTCAGGGCTGGTGTACTTTGTATTATTTCTTTTAATTTTACATGGCTTTTAGCCTGCCATATGTGTTTTTAAGCAAAAGAGAACACCTGGCCTGAACAACAATCAATGTGTCACGTAGGCATCCTTCCTGCGCCTTTTCCCAACATCCCATAGGGGATATTGAGGCACTAAAGTAGACTTTTCCCACTTACCTCTTCCCTTTCCATAAAGATTCACCTCTTTTTTGGGTTTGTTTTTTTTTTCTGTTCTATTGTTTTACAAGTGCCTCATTCAACACATGGCTCATTTGCTTTATTTAAACAAAAATCCCCACAACAACCCCCAAAACAGAACTAAGATGAAGGAGGTGGGCAGCCAAAGGCTGTAAAAGAGCTGGGATCTCTTTCTGGGTAACCCAATTATGCGGAGATGCTGCCTGTAAGTTTCTGGATCCTGGGCTTCCATTTGATATTTTAGCATTGTTAATGATAATTCTTTCGTCTGTAATACTAGGTCATTGCTATGGTTACTCTACAATGGTGCAACACTTCACTTTCCCCCTTTAGCTATTCGCTGAGAGCTGGTAACCACATTTGTTGCTTAGCAACAGTTTTGTGACAGTATTACAATCTAGGGGTGACAACAGTGAAGGACACGATGGCCATGGCCTGCCTGGTGGAGAGGGATGCAGTGTGGGGCAGCTGATTGATGGTGTTTGGGATTTGTGGGGCAGCTGACAGTCCCCAGAGGTGCAGGAGAGCAGCTCTGGATGGATGCTTCCACACAGCACTGCCCACACACACCCCTTCACACTCCAACGAGACCCTCACCCCCATGTACCCACCCTTGGTGGCTCCACGCATGCTGTCTCCTCTGGAAGGTCTTTGAGGGAGGTGTTACCCATCATGTCAACCCCCTGCCCTACTCAAAGGCAGCCATCGGATAAGCTCCTCCAAAAAAAGCCCTCTACTGAAAGACACCACTGCCCACCCAAAGAGACAGTTTATCCATGTCATGCTCGCACACACAGATTCCCCCCCCACCCCGCCTCCATGACCATTGTATGGAGATGATTCATGACATCTTACACAGATTTCCAAGAGGCAACTTTTACAGAAGTACTTTCCACTTCTGAATTTACCCATCTCTGTGCAAGCCCTACTTGCTGGGAGGCAGTTGGTCCTACCAAGTGGTTGGTGGACTTGGCAGAGTGAGGTTATGGCTGGACTCGATGATCTTTGAGGTTTTTCCAACCTAAAAAATTCAATGGCTCTACAGTTCTGGCTTTCAAGGAAGACCACCTACCCCCCCCATGAGAGCCACCCCACAGCCATATTCACAATGCATGTTCCCCAGCTTGGGGTTATCCAGTACACAGAGATGTGCCACCACTGCATGGTGGCTGTGTGTACCACAGCAGAAAGATAAAACTTCCCTTCCAGCACAACCCCTGGCCAAATGGATCTGTTCCTCAGGTTATTGCATGGCTGGGTACCCTGCGATTGCCCACTGCCACCATGCAATGACACCAGTAAAGACATCATCTATCAAAGCTGGTTTTATGGAGGGACAGGCTGTCCTAGCACATTCCAAGGACGCTCCTACACAGGCAGATCTCACACACCTGTGTCACAGCACATGGTAACATCAGTTTGAGCCCCAAGAGGCATTTGTCACTCTGCCTGCCTGCATCTGTCTCCTCTGTCTTGATGGTACACCCACGAGTTTAAATTAGACAAAAATATAGGCAGGGAATATTATGCTGGGTTTTTCTACCCCCTCTTTCTTTTTTCTTCTTTTTATCAGCAACCTTCCTGCTCTGAAACGGCCACTGAGAAGCAAAAAATGACAAAACACTAAGTTTCTGAAGCCTCTCAGTTCCTTTCTTATCCTGACTTCTCCCATGAAACCTCCTCATGTCCTCAAGAGAGATCAGGCTTACATTAACTGGTGTTACTGGAACTGATTAAGTTACAGCTTTCCTGTAGCAAACCCTCTCAGCCCACCCCTCTCAAAAAACAATTCAAGCTTTGAGTCTAGAGGGACACAGTGATTCAGCAATCTAAAGCAATTTTTACACTATTTTCTTTTTCCTAGTAACAATCTTACTGTCAGATGAACAATTTCCCTGGTGATAAAATCACTACAACGGCTATTTAGTTTCCAGGATTATGATGATTCTTTGCTTGAGTAATATTGCCATAAGAAAAGCTTGCCAAGTATCTGCCTTGGCCCTTTATAATCATTTAAAGGTCAAATTTTGTCCTTCTGTACTCACATTCAACCACTACTGCACGGGGGAGGCCTAAAATTTTAACACTGCACAGACTGTGCATTTATGATTTATGTATCAGAGGCTCAGAAAATCAGACAGAAGCAAGAGGAGTTATGTCCTAAGTGTGATAACAAATTTGCCCATAAGGGTTTTGCCAGAGGAAAAATATCACTGATGACTGCAATCTCAACTGTGTATTTAGTAGTAGGCTATCTAAACTGAATGCAAGAGCAGCCTGCATTCTTTTTTTTATAGAAAGAATTGTTTGTGGGAGTTGGATAATAAGAAGCAGCTGTACTGAAGCCAAGGTCCTCTAAGGTATATATATATATCCTTAGCGCTCACTAATTTCCACAGCCATGATAATAAACCACACAATTCAATATACTGTAATAAGTGATGGGTTGTTGCACAATGTAAAGTGATTTCAGACATTAATTATTTGAGAAATCTTAGGAGCATGCTGCACTGAAAATACATATAAAAACTGTTAAGTGTGAGAGACAGCCAGAACATCCTAAAATATGCTAAGGCTACAGTTGCAAGAGAAAGAAATTATCAACCTCCCTGTTCCCAGTCCCCGAGAAATGCCACAAAAGCAGCATCTTGCTATTGTAAAGAGGTAGGGAGAACTGAATGCCTATTTCAACATGTATAGAACATCATTGGAAAGGAGCTCCAGAGAGAAGGCTGATCCAGTAATTCATGAGGTGAGATGAGTGATGGCTGTAAAATGGTGAACAAGTTTCAGAATCATTTTACACACCACCACAAAGAGATATTGACCATTAGAAGTAATGAAGACTTGCCATACAGTTATTGACACAAGAAAAACCAGGTATGGAAATACCTGCAAAAATTTCATCAGGTCTGGTGACACACACCTAAGAGTCTATAGGGAATCAGTTAATGAACTTGAAGAACTACTGGCAATTATTTCTGAGAATTCATGCACAATCAGGTAGGCACCAGAGAACTGAGGTGGGAAGAAAAACAACGCTAATTTGAGAAAAGGAGAGTTAACAGAAACTACTGCAAGTAAAATCTATCTTTGAATATCAGCAAAGTAGGAGATCAACATTAAAAACCATCACAAGCACCTTTAGGGCAACAGGAACCTTAGAACAGAGCTGGATCTGACAAGGTCTTCACCGCTTCAATGGCCGGTGGTTGCCCCTACGTCTCATTTAGAGATGAGTTACTTCACTCCAGCTGAGGAGACTTCATAGTATTTGAGATACATGGTAAGGCAGCTCCCAGCTACAGGGAGCTATGCCTCTGCAGGCTCTAGCTAACTGCTGCACATCCACTAGCACCTGCAGCGCACCCATCTCAGCAGGCTGGATCCAATCAGCTCACCTCATCTCTGAACTGTTCCTTGCTGGATGGCAGTTTGGGAATCTCACCTCTGCAATCACTGCTGCAAGTTGGGAACTGCATCATAGAATGGTTCGGGTTGGAAAGGACCTTAAAAGCTCATCCAGTCTCAATCTCCTCAGCTACAGGCAGGGACACCTTCCAACAACCAGGCTGCTCAAGGCTCTGTCCAACCTGGCCTCGAACACTGCCAGGGATAGAGAATTTACCACTTCTTTGGACAATCTGTTTCAAGTGCCTCACCACCCTAAACATCACATTTCAGCTGAAGAATGGCACAACTCTGCATCAGTGAGATAAGTTACGATACCTCAAACTGTGTTGGAAAATGGCAGTGGTGCGCTTGCTGGGAAGTGGCCAGAGTCTTTGAGAAGACAAGTAATAGGTAATGATATGGAGTTGAAAATACACCTGTACAGTCCCAGAGGTAATGGTATTAGCGCTCTCGTCTTTAAAACATGGTTATTAGTGATCTGAAATAATAATGAGAGCACTTGTTAGTTAATTAGATTAACCAGCAAATGATACATTGAATGGGAGATGATAAAAACATAAGAAGGGATGGAGAAATAATAAGAAAAAGAGCAGCTCACATGGTAGTGAAAATAGAGGAGGGCAAAAGCAAAGACTGAAACTGGGATCCGTCTTTGCAGGAATGGCTGTACAACATGACTGGGCAAACAACCCTGGTGGCCATTTGCACACGTATGTGCAAACGTGTTTTTGCTGCCTCTGCTTTCCACTTCCACTCTGTAAAAGCATCTCTTTGCTCAGCAAGGCCAATCAACTCCTCTGCCTGAGTCCATGGAGAGAAGGAGAGAAGGAGCTCTGCAATCCCTATAATTCACTCTTGCAGAATGATCAGTGTCTGTGCAGGACAAAGGTGCCCTCCTATGGTGCCTGCCCACTGCGCTGGACAAAAGCCTCCTCCTGCAGTGCTCAGAAGATGCGTGGCACAATAGTGGCCCCCTGCTGCATTTACAAGATGTGTGGGACAAAGGTTTCCCATGCTGCACAGGAGCCCAGAGGGATCTCTGCATGCACCTCTGTGCTGGAATACATCAGCAGATGAAAGTTTCCAGGAACTTGAGAAGTTTCTCCGTAGGTCCACAGGGCTGACCTTAGGTCT